CTCGCTGATCCCGGGCAGAAACATAGGCCACTACGGAGCGGAGACAGCTGCCGGGGCGGAGGTTTTGCCTCGGGCTCAGAGCTGCCACGGTTTTGTGGGAGAGCAGGACGGTAGCCGCGTTTGACAACACTGCAGGGCTTAAGCACTTTCCCGCTCTGCTGCTCCACCCCACTTAAAAGGTACCGAGGCCAGCGTTATCCCTGTTGTGAGCGCCGCGGAATGGAAATAACCAGCTTGCAGGGCTGTGGCCCCTGGCTCTAACTGCTGCCCCCGGCAGCTTGTGCGGCCATGTCCAGAAGACACTCTCAGGCTGTGATGTGTCCCTCTCCCCAACTCTCCTGGTGTGAGAGAGACATCTCACCACGCCAGAGGCCTGCAACGGAGAAAAAGCCTTTCAGAAAGAGCTTGTCTTTCAGCCCCTCGCCTGAATGCCCTGGGGAGCTTCACCAGCAGGAACAGGCCGTTTTCTCTCCCTCCCTGGTGGCTTCCAAGTGCAGCCGTCCTGCCCCCAAACAGCAGGTCCCGCCTGAAGGACCGAATAGACCCAAGCGAGGACTCGTGGGCCACACAGCGCACCTGAAGTGTAGGCGGGCAGCTGGTCACAGCCACTGTTGAGGAAAGGATCTCAAACGTGGCCAGGGTCCTGTAAAGCGGGAAGAGAGACGACCCTCGCCTCTCAGGCAGCAGGGGCCGTGTGAGGAGGCAGCACATCATGTCCAGCTGTGCTGGAGAGCGGGGTGGTTATGGAGCAAGGGACTGGGGAGCGGGAGTTGCCACGCAGAACTGTAGGCCCAAGAGGTTGCAGAGGTGGGACAAGGCACAGAGCTGGCCCTACTTTTTACACCTTCACATCACCTTTGCTGGTACTTCACGTGAATGTTGTGCAAGAGAAAAAGATTACAAGAGGAACATTATTCCTTATACCTGCCAGGTCTATTAACACCTGTACCATTTCACACTGCTATTTGAATTGGTCCCTTACGTGGTTTTTTATATCAAATCAATGTGACTTTGACCAAAAAATGTGTGTCTCAAGAGACTAGACACAGCAGCATCCTGAAGAGGCACTCAGAAGCCATGCAAACACAGAAGCTGCTTTGCCTTTTGACATCCCCTACCACTCACTTGGGACATTAAAGAGTATCTGTCCCTGACTGCATGTAATAAGTCTGAATGCTAGATTAGGCTATACTAATTATTAGCCTAAATGTTGGTCCACGTCACTTCACATTTGGGAAAGGTTTGGGAATCCCACTGTGGAGTCGTTGGTTGTTTATCTCCGGTGCTGACAGGCAGCAGTGTTGCCTTTCCTTCACAGAGCTCCTGCGAAGCATAGCAGCGTGGCAAAACTAGAGAGGGCCAGTGTGGTCCCTTCGTAGGTCTGTCACAGCAGAAGGAACCTTCTCACTTGGGAAGGCACCAGGCATGGTGGGGGTCAGGGGGAGCATGGCAGGGGGCCCTGGTTCCAGCCCTGGTCCCACCTTAATTTCCCCCTCCCAGTTCCCCCCATTCTCATAGTCTCTTCCTGTCCCCTCTGCAGGGCCTGCCAATCTCCTCCATCATATCCCTGCTGTGGACCCAGGCACCAGCACCACTCCTGCCCTGGTGTCTCCCCCTGCACACAGAGACCCTTGTCCAGGGCTGCCCTGCCACCACCACCAGCTCCCCACAGTGCTGGGAGGGCTCTGGGTGTTCCCCCTGGCCCCAACCAGGGGAGCACCAGGGTGGCAGGGTGCTGCAGCCAGTATCCCGCCAACCAGTGCCATCACCCATGGCCCAGCCATGACAGGGGCTCCTGCCAGAGAGAGTGGGGTTGCGGCAGGGGTGAGCGGCTCATGGGTAACCAGGGGGGATAAATCAGCTCACAAGATTTGGAAATAAATGTCATCTTCCTCTTCTGTGGGGTCCCGCACTGAGCTTTATTGTACTGTTGTTGTGGAGCTTGCTCGGGCCAGCTGTCGCAGAGGAGCTGGTGTCTCCATCCCCAGGGACATTCACAACCAGCTGCAGCACCTGCACGGGGGCAGTGCAGGTACACAAACATCCTCCGTGCCCTACACGCATCAAATGAGGGCAACTGTGTCCTGCCACTCCCAGGTTACGGTGACATTTACATGAAACACGGAGCCAAAGCTTTGAAGAGGAAATAGCACAAACACAAGGAAAACCTATCCAGAGAAAACAGAGGTTGCTGATACAACATATCCAAAAGCTCTTCGAGTATTTGCAGCACAAGTATCTTTCTGGGTAATACTCCCAACGTATACTATAAAAAGCAGTGAAGAAAAGGAAGGAGGAAGGAACCAGAGCCATAACCTGAAAGCCTCAGGGATTTCATCACTATGCTTACTGGATCACATAGTTGGGGTGGCTTGTGATAAAACCTGTGGTGAGAGCAACTCTTCTTAGAAAATATGAAAGGACTATTGCCTTGGACCTGTAGGAGCTTTTGAAATCATAGAAACACAGTCAGGATTTATGTCTAGTATAGCTGGATTTCAGGCTGGAGCCAAGGACCCGACCTAAGGAGATGGGGGCGAAGCAAGCCTGGGACAGCATCCAGAGCAGTGCAAGTCTCATCAGCCCAGGGTAAGGAGCCCAGGGAGAGCAATACTAAGGAGAGCAGCCTGACTCAGCTACTTACGCTGCACTGAACATCCTCAGCTGAATGACAAAAAGCATAGCTGGCAAACCTGGAACCAAAACTACAGCAATGCTTTCATAGTTTTTTCAAATATTCGATAGAAGGGGAAATTGGGACAAGTGGTTTGGACAGCGCTCTCACCCGTAGGTGGTGCCATAGCCTCACGCTAAGGAGATGTTGTTGCGTCTGATGAGGTATTCATGTTCTGCTGACTCCTCTTTGCCATGTAGGATAGAAGAGGGATGTGTGCCTATACAGTGGACTTGTTACCTTCATTGCATCTGTAATCAATTTGATTTATACAAACCATAGTTTCCTCTTCAACTTAGCAGTTGAGAGCTTGAGCCTTTCGCTAGAAAGCTCAGTGATGTCAAGGTTTGACTGCTCACCTCAATGAAGCCGCAAACCTTTACGACACTGTAAATAAGGCCACTTCTATTTTGACACCTAATACTTGAATATCTGTATTTAGAAACGTGATCCCACATTCCAGTACCTGCTCAGGCGTATGCTCTGCAAAGAGCATACCCCTTGGTGAGCAAACCCAGCTTCTTATCAACTATTCTCTGATGCAACCTTTTGGATTATGAGACAGAAAGCAACGAGCTTATAAAATAAATCATATGAAACTTTCACTGAAGAAACTAGAAGCAAATCCCTAACTACATAAATTTCACTCTGACATTAGGGTAAGCTGCTCCACATAAAAATAGTTGAAATCTCTGGTAGTTCACGACAGAAAATGTGGCCCATTTAAATCTACAAATGAGTGTGGTTTGTTTAACAGAGGGAAATGCAAATGGCATCTTGGGTATTTCATTATTAATGGTAAGGAAAAAATAAGTAAGTAAATATTTCAAGCGCTGTTGCTATGAAATGTCACACAGCATAGCAGCATACGTAGGCTGACTTGTTAAACTTTAACTAATAGTTATATTATATTAATGAATGACTACTCAAATGCCCTTGTTTGCAGGGTTACTCAAGAAAAATATTCTCACTTTCCTAGACAGCAAGCTGTTGTAAACTGACCTTCAGCACTCTGAACTCCTATTCTCTCCTTTTTTCTTGACAAGGCCTTACATTTTCTCAGACTTCCATGAACTGTTACAGACAAATCCAATGACTGTGCACTTACGATAGTCACCATCCGTCAGTGATGGATTAAATGATTTCTCCTGGTTTATAGGTCATTCAGAATGATAGGTAAAATCCTTTTAAAAAAACTGGATATCTAGTCATGCCCCTTTCAGTCATTGCCATTCAATGACTTCATAAACCAGCTACTGGCTTCCCATCAGTATTTTTGACGAAGCTCCACTGTGAGTGCATTTTCTCCATTCTTCACCAGCGCATCTCAGATAAGGCTCAGAACCCACCCAAGGAAATTATTTTTGCAAACAAGGTTTTATAAAATTTGAAAAGGCCTGTTGGTTTGGGGAGGGTGAGAAGGGAAAGCAGAGATCACCTTTAAGGACCAAAGTTGAATGTATTGTATCAGAAGTAAGTAATCCATAAAGCAAACCAGGAAAACGTATCTTTTCATCAGCAGAATAGAATATAGCCCTTTTTTTCCTGTACTACATGGAGGCTTTTTTCATTTCATTTCAAAATACAAAAAACAAAAATCAGAATATATTTTTTAGCAAAGCATGTTACCTTTTGATACTAGCTGCGGCAGGTTTTTTTATGCTGTTTTGAGGAGATGGTGTTTGAAAGGTTGAATAGAGACATCAAAATCCAAACGCTGCAGATATCTTTCCAGAATGGGCAGGTTTTTTCTCCACCCTAGAAGGGAAGAATTTTAAAAAGTATCTCTCAGAAAGCTAGGTCCTGCTTTGTCTGAGCTGCTTGCCTTTATAAATAAAACTTGGAATATTTTACAGATGACAAAGTGACCCTGCTGTAATCACACCGGTCCGTATTGGAGTGCTGCTGCAGCACACTCACAAATCACTGCCACAATTTCTTGGCTTGAAACTCTTCACAGTGCATCTGCAATACCATTAGGTCCTGCAGAGCTAGCAAAAAGCAGGTCCCTTCATTATGCTTGGGACTTCGTTAGAACATTACCGTACATGAAAACCAACAAAGACAGGTCTCCTCCCTTTTGTTCCCCTGCAGGCCTTACGTGACTCATGTTCTCTAGCGTTATGTCTTGCCAGCTTTCATTTTATCGTGATACTTTAGCCTGGTATTTTGTGTCACGCATTCTAATGTTTATTTTTATTACCTTATTCACAGATACAAATGCAAAGACATTAGAAAATAGAAAAATAGCAAACTCATGCTGATAGGTGTGAATCTCACAAAAGGAGATGCTGTTGCTTTGTTTCATTGTTACGTGGGTGTAGTCCTCTTTGACTAAGTGACCACAGCTCTTGTTTGGATGAAACATTTAAGGCTATTTTCTCACTGCGGAGAGGAGTAGGAATAAATAGCATGGACTTTAGCCAGAGCTTAAATCTTCATTTTTGTTATGCCAAAGGCCTAGCTTTCTGAAAGCGTCTGAATGTCCCTCTCTTTCCATCAACTGAGATGTTTGCTATTTGGCGTACAGACCACTGGTTTTGGATGCATTGTTTTTGATGGTGAACTGTACACGGATGCGGAAGGAATAAGTTGTATGCAAAGTTCTAATCATCTACACTGCCAAGCTGTTTCTACAGTCGTGCAGTGATGGCAATCATGGACTCTAAATTTCTGAAGTTTTTGATCCTAGACAACAGTTTATGTCCCCAAAAGACTTTGTTATGACATGCCTACTGCGATAGAAATTTCCAACCCTTTCTTTATACTTACTATGCTTCTGTTTAGATACTGCCAATTATGGTTCTTGTCTTACAGCTTTTCTTAATATTTCTATAATGAGGGGATAGTTAATAGTAATATGATGTATTGCACTGCCATAGTTCCGTAACTGTATCTAAGCCATATACCTCTAGAAATATAAAGCAAGACAGCATGTCTGCGAAGCTGTCACAGTATTCAGGCTGGTATTTGATCTGCAGTTTGAAAGTGCCACATATGCAGCTTGAAAAAGTAACAAAACCACGTTGCTCGTTGA